GGCGGTCGCGGCTGTCGGGGCTTTCCTATGCCGTGGTGCCTGGTTGTGGATCGTTGCGTTCACCCTCGCTCATCGTCTTGCGATGATTGGCGCCTGATCGCCGACGGTTCGGTTGGCGGTCGTTTGCGGGGTGTGGAGGCGGAGGTGCCCGTCACCGGCTCTCAGCTTCGGCACCATCGCCCCGCAGGTTACGGGGAGAGCTGTTGCGGCTCTGTTGTGGTGTCGTCTTCGTGTCCGCACTCACAACGGTGCGTTCCGTTTGTGTTGAGGGGGTGTCACGACTTGGTGAGGACGCTCTGCGCTCTTCGCCATCCGAGCGACGCCATTGAGTAGTGGCCCAGGTGGCCTCTGTCATGCACGCGCTGCTTACCGTATGCGAGGGGGGAGACTTGTGTGATGCTTGATGCACCCTCCGACGGCGTCGCGAGGCTGGGCTCGTCATCCGCCCGACTTTTTGGAATGCGCGCTTGTGCCCGTCGTGTCCCCCATCCTGTGGTCTTGGTATGCTGCAAACCGTGACGGATCGCGTTGCGTCGTGGTTCTGCTGCGTTTGGGTTGTGGGCTTCGAAGGCTACTGTCCTCTGTCTCCTGGGTTTCGCCTGCGTCGAGTGCTGTTGGTGGTGCCCACGGCAACCGGCGGATGTGGACCCAGGGGGGAGAGGGGTTGTGTTCCTTTTGCGCCCCCGTGCCCAGGTGGAGGCTTTCCGTCCGTCCGGGCGTGTTGGAAGCGTGGTGCATTCGTTTCTCTCTTCACCCGCGTTTSTCGATGGAGAGATGAGGCTGTGCACTTCGCTGTCGGTACGTTTTGGGCGGGCGGTGGCGTCCGGTTGTGGGCCGAAGCTGCCGGTGGTTCCTTCGCGCGCGCCGTTGTTCGGGTAGTGTGGTTAACTTGCAATCTCTGGGTGTGGTGTGGGCGGGTGTTGTTCGCAGCCAATCTCTTGGGCGGATGTGGCGGGCTGTGTTGGATTGTGCGGCACCTTGCCGTTGGAGATGGCCTACGGAGGGAAGTTCACCTGCAATTGAAACAGCCGGACTTTGCGGCGTCTCGGCAGCTCATTGCACGTTCCACAATTGTTCGACGTTCTTTTGGTAGGCTGTCCGGCGTGACGTGCCTACGTGTGCCTCGACAATCGCTCCTTGCGGCTGTTCGTCACACCCGCTACCTGGTTGATCCTGCCAGTAGTCATATGCTTGTCTCAAAGACTAAGCCATGCACGT